TCTGAGCAGCTTTGGGGAATACGGAGAAGCTTCCTGCAGGAGGAGGACACTCGTTCTGTCAGACTGAATCTCCTCCACATCACAGACATCAGGCGTTTTAATTTGTGCAAACGTTGGATCATTATGGGAAGAAGTGACCTGATGAGAGTCTCTGCTATCAGCTACAACTGCTGCGGTTGTAAGACAACACATCTGGAGGCAAACCAGTAAATAAAACTTCTTCTGGTTTCTGACAATTATTTAAGAAGAGGTTCGATGTTCCTGCAGACGTCACGTCCATCCTGGTGGAACAAATTCTTTGCAGCATGAACACAAGGATTTTTTTTAATCACGACGGCAGTGACGACTGTTATCCCGTTAATGAGGAGAAACCCAGAATAATTAGCAGTGACGTCTAAGCGCCGGCTGTCGTTTGCAGGACGGCGGGAATGAAAGCGTGAGCGGAGCTGCAGTCGGAGCGCGAGGAGGAATTAATGGACTTTTAATTGGAATTACAATTTGAAAACAAAACAATTTGCAAATGAACAACGGCGGCAGTTTGGGATACACAAGGTTTAGCTGTTAAATGAGATTAATGCCGTAATTTAGCTTTATTTAATTTAAGCAGATGTGATATTGAGGCGTGACGCTGACATCGGCCCGGTCGCACTCCAACGTTTTTGTCTCTGGTTTTGTTTATCTGCATCTTAAACTGCATTCTTTGTTGATTTGCTAATTTTGTGATTTTGATCTGGAAATCTACAATAAAATAGACAGCAGCATTTTACACAATTCATTTCTTTGATGCACATTTCTGTCATCAGTCCAAATGACAGGATGCTGATGGAAGTTCCTCCTCGTTAAAGAGCAAATCATCATCATCATGATCGTAGTAATGATGCATTTATGTTTTATCGTAACACAAACCCATTAAAGTGTTCGTCCTACCAGACAGACATGCACTCGTCTCTGTAACAGACTTTGTCCTACGATCCAGTAAATAAATCAGCTTCAAATAAAAAATGCAATTAGCACAAGCTGCAGTTTAGGACATGAATGAGACTCATGCTGCTGTTTTTATTATTATTTTATCAGGTTGAAACTTTCATGCATTGTTTATTCTGCCCATTAATCAGGCTGCACAGTTTGGTTTCATTGATAATAATCAATATTCACACCTCAGACACTATGGAGCTCTTCTGGTTCAGGGTTTAAACTGTTATCAGTGGTTTTATATTTTCATGTCGGACACTTTTTAGACACGTATTGTGTGTGTTTGTGCTCCAGCACAAGTTTTACGTCTGTTGTACAGAGAATCATGAACTGAAGCTTGACTTTAAATAATTAGAAGCCAAATAAAATGGCATTATCTGTCAGATAAAGTAGATATTTTACTCTAATTAATGAGTCTAACAGCAATGTTTGTGTATTTTAATGAACAAAATCCTTTAAAAAACTGTAGAATTACATCATGTTTGAGTCCCTGTAGAGTGTGATTTGGTATCAGACTGTAATAATATTGTCAGATTGTCATTAAAACGCTGTTTTACAGGAACAATATGTGATTTCTGTGGTTTGAGTTGAGATTTTGCTCCATAACGCATCCAGCAGATTAACTCTATTTGTTTTGATCAATGAAAAATCACTGAAATGTTCATTTAAACCGTCCACATGTTGCTATTTTTTTTATTAATTAGACCAAATTGATGTGGAATAAAATAAAACCACCTTCACCGAATGGATGCGCGCTCCCGCAGCCCGGTGCGCGCCTCCAGCAGGCTAATTAGCCTGACGGACACCTGCTAACGTTAGCACGAAGCTAACTGTCGAAATTTAGCTAAACGTTACTAGCGCCAGACTAACTAGTTAGCTAACTAGCAGTTACTTTAACCCATGGGTAGGTTGTGCTGCTAGCTAGCTAGCTGTGACTTTAGCACTGATTAAACGTTCGCGTCGCTTCGCGGCGCCGCGCGGTAGAAGTCACGGCTCGGTCGGAGCTGCGCATGCGTGAGCGTGACGGTTTACGTAAGATCCTCAAACAGATTCCTGAGTTCGTGGTTTAATTTACTGAATAAAAACATGTTTAACGAACAAGTTTCACCATAAAACTCAGCCAGAGGAGCTTCTATAGTTACATGAGGATTTTTTGAATTACAAACATTATTTTTTTGGTCTAAATATGCAAATTAGGGACGATATATGTATCTAGAAAATGCCCTAATTTGAATTAATTTCCAAAACAGAAATCTGACAAACCTAAAGTCACATGTAAAATATATTATAAAATGTAATATTTAACACAAATACAGCTACAACGATTCATTGATTCGTTGTCAATTGTTTAATTGATCAATTTGAGTAGTTATAGGGGGAAAAAAGTCTAAATTCTCAGATTATTTCTCAGACATTTCTCTGCTCTGTCATCAATGTTCAGTCATATCCTCACCGATTTTAAAAATAGCATCCACCGTAAGCTCCATATTAGCTGCTGTACACTAGTTTCATGATCGTAATACTCTTTATTTATATAAAAGGTTTCTTAACAAAGAGCTTGACAACATTTTTCACCTTTTTTCTTTTACTTCATCGACCTGACGACTCGTCAGTTAATCAATAAAACATGTGCCAGAACAAAAGCCAAGTCCGTTTCCTCCAGACTGTGAAGGACGTATGAACAAAGCTCAATGTTTAAAAAAAACCTTCAGAATACAGATAAAACCAGTCTGGAAGGTTTGGCGTTTGTAAATGCTGCTGGAGATAAAACTCATTGTGAGGAAACAGCCTTTAAAGACGCAAACAGACAAAGTGTAAAAGAATAAACACCTAAATGCACGTCGGGACCAGTTTTGCAATGATTGTGATATAAATAGAGATGCAGGAGAAAAATAAAAAGAATGAAACGATGGCCCACGGAAGAAATTAACTCATGGGCTGAGCAATAAAATGCTGAGCTCTAGAAAAAGCCAAATTATTAATAACTGGCCCGTGAAAATGAAAAAAAAAAGAAGCTAATTTTTCAAACGAGGGTTGTCGTGTTTCCCTATAAAGTTCCTGTAAGTGTAGATAAATGGATTTATTCACATTTCCTTCTTCTGAGGCCTCCGTACAGACGTGACGGGTTCATTCATCACCACCTGAAGCGAAATGAAACAGCACAGGAGACTCTTTGTTCGTATAAACATCTTTTATTGGATATTTGGACTTCCTAGATCTGGATTTTTGGCCCACTTCTCCTCAGAAGAGTCACCGATTTGGGCTTCGGTCCAGACCAGCTCTGGTTTACTGGTTGCGCCGTTTGTGTCCATTTCAAAGTCTACACTCGGTCCGGTCCGCTCAAACCGTTTGTTTCCTACAACCGTGTTACAAGAATAAACAATGGGGAAGTCGTATTGGATGTACAAACTGTTATACAATGGTAGAAACACATACTGTGATGCTGGTAGGCGCGTCGGTACCAGCGGGCGATTTTCTAGAACATTCAGAAACTCTCAGAGCGGCTGTTTACGTGAGCCTCATAACACAATGTTTCTCAAATACGCGTCAGTTTTACATCATAAAAACACACAGATCCTCAAATACCACACGAATAAATCTACTTACAGCGAAGGCTCAGTTCTGATCCTTCATCCAGTCAACACAACATTGTTCTGTACCGTTTCCAGTCTGGAAACCACTTCATCAAAGATCACATACGCAGGTCGTCCTAACATCAACCAGCACGTCGTGGAGCTGCAGGTTTACACACCAAACACAACCGTGTCCAACAAATGTTCCACCGTCTTCGATTCACAACCACATAAAACTTCCAAAAATGACAGTTTTAGAGAGCGCAAAGTCTGTTGTGTCTTTAGTTAGTGTTGGTTTGTCGTTTATTGTTGTTTGCAAACAAGCACAAATGTGTGTTAGCGGGTCGGTACCGTTCACAATGAGAAGCTGATGATGCTAACCAACCAGCGTAACTCGATTAGTTAAACTATATCGTTATAACGTTGCATAATTTAAAGTATGTTCTGTCATCTTATTAAATGTCATGTAAAATCTTTAAAAAGTGCACAATTATTAATGTCCACAATCTTATTTACTCGTCACTTTACATGGGTCATGTACCAGGAAGCTAACGCTAGCTTGACAGAGTTAACATAAGCTTGATGATGTGAACATAAGCTTGATAACATTAGCTTGACAAACCTAACAGTAGCAAGCTAACATTAGCTTTATAAAGGTACCATTAGCAAGCTAATGTGGGCTTTACAAAGTTAACATTGACAAGCTAATGTCAGCTTTACAACATTAACTTTAGCAAGCTGATGTTAGCTTAACAAAGTGAACACTAGCAAACTAAAGTCAGCTTGACAAACTGAACATCACCAAGTTACCATTTTGCATGCTAATGTAAGCTTAACAAGGTTAACATTTCAAGCTAACTTTTGCTTGACGACGTTAGCGTTAGCAAGCTAGCATCAAGTTTGCTACACAACAGTTATCTGGCATAACATTCAGTAATTTGTAATTTGTGTTATTTTAGTAAAATGTACTTTTAAAATCTTCAAAATGTAGAATATTATTAAACAATATTTATTCAATTTCAGGCCCAAAATGTCGACTGGATTCCAAATTTCGTACTCTTCGCTCGCTATACTCGTAAGCTAACATTAGCTCAACGAAGTTAACATTAGCAAGCTAGCATCAACCTAACTACGCAACAGTTAGACCTGGGATTTAAATGGGTGTAAATTTGAATCATTCTACATTAGAAATAATTTGTGTTGAGTCTCATTTTAATTGTGTTACACATAAAACTCCACTTTTAATGTCAGAGGAAAGTTTGAGATTTTACCATCATTTCTGGGAAATGAGCTACAACAACATGGTCCATAACAGTGATGCTATGACGGATTATATGTATTTTTTGTGCAAGCTGACTTTAGAACTTTGCCCCGTCTGAAATACTTGTTTGAAAGCTCCTGTTTTCCGTTAAAAATCACAAACGTGCAGCAAACCGACTACAAACGTGTACATGTGCTTCTAGACACCTTTTATTTTTTTGGCTTTTCCTTCCCGTTCTACTTTCACGTCTACTCTTTAAGGCACTCGCTGGTGGCGAAAACAAGGCAGAAAGAAGCAAAGTGTTGGCGGCGCAACAGAAATGCAGCGAGCAAAACGTCGTTCTCCACATGAAATACGTCCTATTTTAAAATCAACCTACATTTAGAGACACAAACGTGGCGGTTTGCTTTGAAAAGCAGGAGAGATTTTGCAAAAAATAGAAAAAAAAATCTGACATCTGAACATCAGAGGTGCAAAACGTTTCACATTTCAACAGTTTTACATTCTGCCAGATTACTCAGCACACAGGTCCTCTCGTTTTCAGGCTTCAGGTTGAGTTTCTTGGAGGATTTTTTGGCACCACAGTGGAGTTTATGAACTAATTCATGCCTTGAGGAAAAAAAAGAACGAGCTGAGATGCATTCATGTCACCGTTGGTATCTGGATCTTTGTGGTGCCTCGTTATTGTCAAACCTCTGCACAGTTTCCATCAGCGGCCTTCACGTCGTATTGCTCCAGAATTTAAAGAAACCGTTTCAAAGGCAATTAAAAAACAAAAACAAAACTTCAAACTGTAAATTCTAATCTTTGATATAAACTCAACATGAAGCACGTCGTCCGGGACTCGGGCGGCGAAGAACAACGCAGATATACATCATGGTTTGGTGGTGACGGTGATTAATATGAAGCAAAGGAGAAGATAAATGAGTTCATTTATATTCAACGGTGTAACGGCACTTAAACTCAATTTACTTGGTCCACAATTTACTCATTGACGGAGAGCTTGGCGACACGTGTAGCAGTTATTTTCATCCATATTTCTCCAAATGAACAGTTGATGGAGACGTATTCCCCTCGCTCTGCTTTATAGGTTTTTTTCCTCCCACCAATAAATCTTGAGATATTGACATATTGACATTATTGACACTCTTCCAGACGTGACTTGTGCAGGTTTCAGTTCACAAAAACCAACTGAATTCATGAAACAAACCTATAAAACCAAGGAGGTGGCAGTCAGGAGGCACGTGTACGTCCGCTATTTGCACAAAAATATATCACTACGGAATAAAATAAAACTGGTATTTTTTATGCAGGATAATAAGGAAGATTAAAAATACCAAAATAAAAACAGATCAAACCCTTTAATGGGAGCAATTATTGTGTCACAGCTAAATGAAAAACAAGAATTTATTTAGTTTTTGTGTTCTGCAGCTGAATTAATTTCTCTTTCCGCGCCGCATTAAACACAAAGAGGCGCGCTGCATTTCAATTACAGCCTCTCCATTCAGTCATGACACAAGAAACATATATTATGTATACGTGCCGTTTAAATCTTCCACATGATACGTAGGAGGACGACCGACTGCGAGGAGACGTTCACGTTTTTTTTTTTGCTTTTAAAACATATGCGCTGCTTTAATTTAATCGAGCAAACTGATAAACGGAGCCCGTGATAAGTGGATTTAATATATTTAAACTCAGTGATTTTCCTTTAAGCCTTGGTGAAGAACCCGTTGATACCCTGTCTTCTGAAACCCCCGAACTAACCTCCTCGTATGTGCGCAGCTAAACAGAAAAACAGAAAAACAGATGCAGCGTTATGTACGGCGAGAGTGTTGCAAAAGAAGTAAAATTACACATGATTAAAAAAAAAAGAAAAAAAGAAAAATCACACTTAAAAATAAAGGTCTGGCGGTTTAGATCACATGATTAGGCAGTCGTGATTGTTAGCGTAGCGACAGAGCGGCAATAACTACTGAACACACACTTGCACACACGTATTGGCGGGATATGACGTGGACCACCCTGATTAACACTTAAAAAACAATAGTGGCACTGTGTCAGTCCAATAAAAAGATAAATTTCATGTAGCATACGGAGAGCCTCTGTTGGAAGCCTGCATACGAAAAAAAATAAACTGAACAGAATGAAATAACTCAGCTGTGATTGGAGTCACCAGCACAGTATCATCAGCGTAGAAACACACACTGCAGCAAATCGATACGGAAACCAACATTTGGCCGTGACACAAGAGAAATCTACGTTGATTTTTTTGGGTTTTTCTTAAACTCGTCGTACCCTGAAATCGCCGTCCACAGTTCTGCCGTTAAAGACAAAGGCCCCTGATTGGCCAGTGGTGTGTACCGTAGTGGGTTTTCATTGGTTGATTATTTCTATTCGAGCATTTCATCCGAGCGTTTTCACGCCTCAGGATGGAACTCGTTCTCACAGGAGGTCAGATTTCCTGGTTAACATTTAGTACGGACACAGAAAAGAGCTGACCTCGGATCAGGAATTAAGAGGCAGATTCACCCAAATCCACAGTTCATAAACTCACAAAGTGGTCACGTAGGGTCCTGGAGCAGCTGTACTTCCAATCCAGGAGGGCTGAGTACCAAAAAGAAAACATTTGGTAACGTCTCACTTACTTATGTTCTTCAAATATCCCAAAACTAAATCTTCCTTCCTCGTGTGGCACCTGTTTTTTTTTTTTTTCCTCCAGTCCTCATGTGGTGAAATTAAAAATTTTGCGGTGCAGAGAAGCCAAACACAGAAACAACAAGGTCCAAGGAGAACACAAACCCAACGTCCTAGCTACCTTTAAAAAAATAACTTTGATTTCACAGAGCTCCCATCTGCAGCCGTGTTACAGGTTTTGCATCCCCTCCTTGGTTTATTCGTTTCGGGACGCCAAGTTGGAAAGAAGTGCAGCAGATACCGGAGCATGTTTTAACACTTGGCTTGTTCAGAATCCCCCCTTCAGTCCGTCCTGTGGATCCACCAGCGCCTCTTCCTTCAGTCCTAACACAATTAAACATTCGGCAGAGTCCGCGAGCTCGTCCTCCGGTGAGTCCTTAAATGGAAAACAACATCCTGTGTTTTGATAGCTCCTCCCCCTCGACCCCTCCGCGAGGTCAGGGGTCAGAGGTCGGTGACCTTGTTCTCCAGGGCGGCGGCGACCTGTTGGAGGCGGAGGGTGAGCTGTTTGTTCTGGGCTGCCGGGTCCTCGTCCAGCGACTGGATGATCTGAAGAAGACAACGCAGAGTTTAGTGTTTGGGATTGAAGTTTGCTTTTTGTTTAAACCATGAACTAAAGGTTTGACGTAGAAACCATGACGTGGTTAGGTGGCAACCTTAGCCTGATCTTTAGGGGTCATGAATTTATAAATATTCTGAATATATGCAGCATTATCAATCAATACCTGACTAATCTAGGTTACAAATGTAGGGACCTTGAACGTAAGAATATCATTTAGATTGATCCTGACTTCATTTTACCACATGTGCAACAGTCGGAGGTCAATAGGTGTTGCGGAAGACTTCGTCATGGTGCCCATTTACCAGCTAAACTCCCACAATGCTCTCTGCTTGCCAACATGAACGGCCTGTAGTCTAAGTGACCTCCAGTTGCTGTGGTATTAGACAGTTGGAAGCTCCATCAAATTAACACAACGATGTATTGAAGGAGGCTTGAAACGTGCGATTGAGACCATAAACTCATTAAGAAAAGGTTCATCGGGGTAAGAAATCAAACGAGCAGTAGAGTTATTTTCTCATAGACTTCTATACAATCGAACTCTGGAGGAGTCGCCCCCTGCTGGCAGGTTTAAGTCTCTTCCGTGTTGGCTTCACTTTTCAGACCCAGAGCTGAGTCCACTTTTTATATATGGTTTAAAAAGAAGCAGCTACCAGCTAATGTTCAATATATTCACCCCAAGAATCCTGTGAGTCACTACAAGCAGGCAGGAAATGTTAGTAACGCGTACGCTGGAGAATAATTGAGAGCTGCTTCGTCAACTTGGCAGAGTTTTATCAGGCAAAACCAGCAAACAGCAAAAATAATAAAACTGCATTTGTCTAAACTGACAAACAAACGACACCAGGATGGTGAAACAATAAGAATCTTCTTTCTTTTCTCTGGCATTGTGTTCATTCCTCAACACAAACAGAAGCAGAAAGTCAACAGCACACAACAGCAGAGTGAAGCATCACAACAACACTCACCACATCGTAGTACTTGCTGGCGTACTGGTACAGTTGATGTAAGGCCACCTGGGTGTTCAGCTTGTCTGTGTGTTGCTGTTAAAGACAAACAGAAAATAGTTCACGTATGAGAACAGCTTCATTCTCCTCAGACAGACAGAAGCTGATTTAAGTCCAGAGAAATGTATTCAGAGGTTTGGATCCACAGTTTTTCAGATCATCTGAGTTTGTTATTATTATTTGTTGTGAGTGTAATTTATGACAGTCACATCATTTTCATTTTAAAAAAGCCTCCATTGGTTAAAACCTTTACTGGTTGTACTGAGTCTGGTGTGTGGCCGTCTGTCAGATTTTAGCCTATGATCAGAATTCAACAAACGGTTGATCCATCCATCCATCATCCTTTCATTCATTCATTCATTCATCCATCCATCCATCCATCCATCCACTTATCTAACATCCATCCATCATCCATCCATTCATTCATTCATCCATCTACTTATCTAACATCCATCCATTCATCCATTCATCCATCCATCCATCCACTTATCTAACATCCATCCATCATCCATCCATCCATCATCCATTCATTCATCCATCCATCCATCCATCCATCCATCCATCCATCCATCCATCCATCCATCCACTTATCCATCCATCCATCCATCCATCTACTTATCTAACATCCATCCATCCATCCTTACTAGGCAGTGATAAACTATAATAAACTGAAACCTGCTGCTGTTTGTTACTGAAGGTTTCTTTAAGGCCTTATTGTAGTAAATCTACATGAACATGAACATCAGCAGGAACCAGAACGTGTTCAGCTCCACATGTAGCTGCTCCATCACTTCACAACAACCGGTGAGTCCAACAGAAGGTGTTTCGTACCCGGGACACCTCAGCGAGGTGTGTGTTCATGTCCTGGTCACTGACTGAAATCATCTGTCTGATGCCCTTGTAGTAACTGTGGAAACAACACAAACATGCGATTGGTTCATTCATCAAATTATATCAAAGTTAATAAAGATGTTTGATATTTGTCTTCTATAAAATCATGTTCCAGACTTTTAAATCACAGCAAACTGGCTAAAAAGAGACTGTTTCCTAGACATGTGATTTAAAAACCCAAACATCTGATCACTTTGTGTACGTTCGGTGTCACAAACTCACTCGTCCACCATCTTCTTGTACGTTGAAATCTCTTTTGCATAGAGAAGCTTGTTGCTGGGAGACTCCTGCAGACAGACAGACGCAGAGAGAGAAAAGAAATCAGCAACAGATTGGATTTTCAACACTTTCTTTCATTTCCAAAACATTTCAAAGACGTCTGAGAGAGAAATCCCCTGGTGGACGTTGCTGCTGTGGAAATGATCGTCCGTCTGCGAAGCTCAAACAGTCCGAGCTTTAGTTTGTAATTAAGTTTTCCATCAGCCTCAGACACGTCGACGTCTCCACAGATTAACAGACGGAGAACAAAATGGAAACATGGACAGAATCTCCTCCGAAGCGCCGACTGTGAACCTGTTGACTTTAAAATCAAAGTTTTTATTCGTGGTTGTTTTGTGTCTCGTCTCTCAGCGTCACTTTGTAGTCATTTTGCATCTCTTCATGGTTGTTTTGTGTCTCTTTGTAGCGCCTTTGCATCGATTTGTAGTTGATTTTGCGTATGTTTGTGGCCGTTTTCTATCTCTGTGATGACGTTTTGTCTTTGTGGTAAATTTGCGCACACTTCAAGACATTTTGTGTCT